CTTCATGCTTCGGAGGAACATGATGTAGGTCACTGGGTCGGCGTGGACCCCATCGATGTCAGCACCATAGTTTATAATGTCAAGTGGTACCCTCATGGCGAGTGTCCTCGCTAGGCCACCCAGGCCGCGTTGTATGGCGGCCGCTTGGGCCTGTGGCGTCATACGTCCACTTGTGACGTTGAGCCACGCGTTGACCTCATAAATGTACTCGCGGAAAGGTACGTTGCCTTGAGGGTCCCAGTATGGGCCATGTGTTTGCCCATCGGTGCTGTTCTCTCCACGACGCATGTGTCCGATTGCTGCCCCCAGCGCGAACCATATGATGGCGAATATAACCAGCCCAAGGCTGTGAAGATATGGGTGGTTATTAGGCGCGTTGCCGCGCTGGGGCAACGCCTTGTCAAGTCTTCGAGGCGCTTTATCTCGCGGGTCTCCCCGCCTCTGCTTCAAGTGCTGCACTGTTGGCTCGTTGCCGAGCGGTTGGTAGTAGCGCAGTGATGAAGCGTATATGGTACCAATGTTGTTGTCTAGACGTCGTGCCTCTCGTGTTGCTTCTAGCTCTTGAATAGATCCTCGTAAATGTACTGGGGGTGGTGGCGCAGGGTGGTAGTTGGTCACGAAGATCGTGCCGTGTAGCGTGAGGATAAGGAGAGCAAGAGCTGACCACACGAGAGTGCGGCCAGCTCCGCTACCAAGTCGAAAATGACTATGGTAAGTCTAATAACATCCGCTCCCATGGGAATCGAATGGCAGATAGCGTCCATTGCCCTGCTGGGGTGGTTCAGTATGGGGAATGGACGGATAAGATGGGATAAGATCGATGTAATGATCTTTCCAGCACATAGCGAACACTAAGGTAAGTGTCCGGGCAACTAGGGCGCGCGTGCCTTGAGCCAAAGGCAACGGCGCGCGAGCTATACTCCCGATTCTGTATAACATCTCCCAAAGAGCTACCCTTAAAGTGGGGGTCCCTTTGGAGGTCCACGACAGTCCCTCCCAGGGCCCCCTTTGGAGGTCCACGACAGCTTCTGGGCCCGCCCAAGCGGTTCCCAAGACGGTCCAAGAGGGCCCCGAGACGCCGAAAGATCGTTCCCAGACGCCTAACATGGGCCGAAAGATCTTTCCAAGACGCCTTTCATGGGCCGAAGACGGCCCAAGAGGCCGCCAAGACGTTTCAAGAGGCCTCCCAGGAGGCCTCGGCCCAAATCTTCAAATTCCGTTTGGGAAAACGTGCATTTCTAGCACATACGATTTTCCCGCCTTCACAGCGCGGAAGCCCTTTTAAGAAGCCTCCAGGACCGCCCTAAGATGGCCCCATAGGCTCCCGAGAAGCCCCCAACACGGCACAAGAGGCGCCCAAAACGACCCAAGGGCTCCAAGGGGGACCACGAAACCAACATTCCAGCCGTCCGCCCCTAGAGGCTCCCAGGAGGCCACAAGAGGCCCCAGACGCCCCCAAAAGGCCCCCAAGAGGCCCCAAGAGGCTCCCCAGAGGCCTCCAAGAGACCCCAAGAGGCCCCAAAAGGCCCCCAAGTCGGCTTCGATATACGATGGTTCGGCCTTCACAGCGCGGAAGACCCTCCAAGATGCCTCCAAGACCGCCCTAAGACGGCCTCATAGGCTCCCGAGAAGCCCCCAACATGGCACAAGAGGCGCCCAAAACGACCCAAAAGGGCTCCAAGACGACCCCAAGGGAGGCCCGAGAGGGGAACCACGGGACGAACACTCCAGCCGTCCGCCCCTCGAGGCCCCCAGACGCCCCCAAGAGGCCCCAAGAGGCCCCAAGAGGCTCCCCAGAGGCCTCCGGATGGACCACGGGAGCGGCCCTGGGCTGGACCCCCGAGGCCTCCAAGAGGCTTCCCCAAAAGACCCCAAGCACAAAGAGCGAAACATATATTTTCAGCAGGTTCGCCTTTAGACACCAGGAGGGCTCCAAGACGGCAAGAGGACCACCAAAAGAGCTCCAAGACGGACAGAGAGACTCCCAGTCAGCCGGACGGAGAACCGGAACGGACACTTCGAACCTTCGGCTCCAAGACGCCCCCAACGTGCCCCAGGGACCCCCAGGAAGCCCCCACAAAAAACAAAGGGGTCGGCAGTGTGGCGTAAGCCTAAGTCAATATTCTGAGGGGCCGCCCCCCGTTCCAGCGCCTCGCCGCGTGCGTCGCTCCCCTCTCCCGACGATTCCTGGGCGCGCAGAGGCGTCCCTGGCGCTCTTGAGGGCTTCGAAGGATGCAAGCGATGGCTTCCAAGACGACCCAAACACGGGCCACCGACGCCGTCAAGATGGCCCAAGGCGCCTCCCATGATGGCCCGAGACGTCCAAGGGAAGTCCCCGAAGCTCCCCATGGGGCCTCCGAGGAGGCCCGACGAGGGCCGCGGAAAAACGCCCCCCCTGAACCCTCGAGGATGCATGGCAAAACTTAGCATCTACTCTCTCTCCTCCTCCTCTTCCTCCTCCTTCTCCTCCTCCGCCTCCTCCTCCTCCTTCGCCTTCCTTCCTTCCTTCCTTCCCTCCTTCCTTCCTTCCTTCCTTCCTTCCTTCCTTCCTCCTCCTCCTCCTCCTCCTCCTCATCATCATCATCATCATCATCATCATCATCATCATCATCATGAGCATCATCATCATCATCATCATCATCATCATCATCAACAACAGCATCAGCATCAGCATCAGCATCAGCATCAGCATCAGAATCATCAGCAGCATCATCATCCTCATCATCATCAGCAGCATTATCATCATCACCATCATCATCATCGTCGTCATCATCATCAACAACAACATCGTCATCACCATCAACATCATCATCAGCATCAGCATCATCATCCTCATCCTCATCCTCATCATCATCAGCAGCATCATCATCGTCATCGGCATCGGCATCGGCATCATCAGCATCAGCATCAGCATCATCATCATCATCAGTCGAATCAGCATCATCATCACCATCATCATCATCAGCATTAGCAGCAGCAGCATCATCAGCAACATCATCATCACCACCACCACCATCATCATTGGCATCTTCATCATCATCCTCATCATCATCAGCAGCAGCAGCATCGTCACCGTCATCGTCATCATCAGTATCATCATCAGCAGCATCATTATCAGCAGCATCATCAGCATTATCATCACCATCCTTATCATCAACATAATCATCAGCAGTAGCAGCAGCATCATCATCGTCAACATCAGTAGCATCAGCATCAGCAGCAGCATCAGCATCATCATCATCATCAGCATCAGCAGCATCATCCTCATTATCATAATATGCATCAGCATCAGCAGCATCATCATCTGTCCGGTAACGAAAAAGATATTATCCTACTCCTCCGCTCCTCCTCCTCCTCCTCCCTCCTCCTGCTCCTCCTCCTCCTCATGCTCCTCCCTTTCCTCCTCCTCCTCCTCCTCCTCCTCCTCCTCCTCATGCTCCTCCTCCTCCTCCTCATCATCATCATCAGCATCATCATCATCATCCCTTCCCTCCTTCTCCTCCAGCTGCCCCAGGGACACAGCACTTGTCACCCTCAGGAGGGAGGTCTCGTGGGCCTTTGCACGAGTCAGACCTGGCGCCTTGGCCGAGATGTGGTTGCAACTGCAATCTACAAAACTAAGCGCAGCCCTAAGCACTGGGGGAGGGGGGGAGGAGGAGGAGGAGGAGAAAGAGGAGGAGGAGGAGGCGGAGAAGGAGGAAGAGGAGGAGGAGGAGAGGCAGGATGAGAGGGAGGAGGAGGTGGGGGAGGAGGAGGAGCAGAAGGAGGAGGGGAAGGAGGACGGACGCTGGCCAGCAAACGGATGAAGGGCGAGCAAGGGAAGGACAA